GATGCCTCGTGTAGAGGCGAAACATGTGCCGTATTATCGTCAGTGGTGTGTCTTGCCTAGTGTAGTGGTTTTGGGAGTACTCGTAGCGGTGCTGGGATTAGTGGTAACGGGGATAGTGCACGCAATTGAGGGAGGGCTGGAGGTGCTCTTCATACTAGGTAAGACACATCATTTTATTTTATAACGTGGATATTTGCGAAGTAAATTTTTCTAAAAGCTTTTATCTATTTTTTTGTAAAATTCGAAGGCGAACTTGTTGCTAGTCTATAGAATAGAATATAAAAGAATGGAATAATTTTTATTCAATATTGATTTTTACATAATTCTTATTAAAAGTAACTTTTTATTTACCACTGGTTCGGAACATACCTCTGCCCTGAGAAGAACCAACAAGAAACCCAGCGGGACTTTTTTTTTTCAAACATAATTCACTTAACAATAATTTCGTTTATACAATTTTTAAATGAATTTTCATAGAACCAGCATGGTGGCGATCACCTTATTCTCAGGGATTATTTTCATTCTTATATTCCTTGATATTATTATAACCCTTTTTGTACAGTTTTTCTTTAATAAAACTTTTAAACTTGTTTATTGACAAACTTTGAATATGTTCTGGGATTTTGCTGTAAAAGCGTATACTCGTACATTGACCCATAAATGAATTACTGATTCTGTGGAGTCTAGTAACTGGTATTACAAGCTTATGTTTGTTCCTAGTGTTTAAGGTATGAACATCCTTATTCTTATTAAAGCTATTTATGTTTTTATGTACATACATTACATTTTCATAAATATATTGCGATGCCAAATTTAATATAATGTTTATTTCTTTAAATTTTTGTCTGAGGGACTCTTTACAATTTAGGTTATAAATCGCCCGAAGGGCTCTCTTTTGTAAAAGAAATATAGCTTCAATATCAGTCGCACTACCCTATAGCAAAATTCCATAAGATATACATACATTCATATAAATAAAATATAAATGTCTGTTTGTGATGTCAAAATAGCGTTTTACTAATTGCATATAAAAGTATATACGGCACTTATAACAAAAACACAATTTTGAAAATTTTGTCTGTCTGTCTGTTTGTTCCGGCTAATCTCCGGAATGGCTTGACCGATTTCAACGAGACTTTCACTGGTAGATAGCTCATATTATAAGGAATAACTTTGGCTACTTATATTTAAGAAAAATAATTATGGTTCCGCGCAAGAAAATTAAAACCTTAACTTACTCGCGGGCGAAGCCGCGGGGAATAGCTAGTCGAGTAATAAAAACGTTATAATAATAAAACATAACAGGTATAGCATACTCGTATATATATATATATCTGACCTGAGGAGTCGCAGGTAAATGTCGCGGCGACGCACGCGCGGCGGCGGCGGCACGAGCGGCGGCGAGCGCGGCGCCAGCGCCAGGTGCGGCGCGCCGCTGCGCACCGCCCACACACTCTACACACAAATACGCTCAATCATCACCATCATCATCATCATCTGACCTTCAAAATACCACAGTTAAACATATACCTCTTACGACACTGCATTACTCTACCATGTATAAACGGACTAAGATGGAAAGTTTCATTATATGGTCTCCGGTATTCATCACTTACCATTAAAAAAAATATTACGAGAGAACGATTACAGATATAACATTATTAAAACTTTAAATTAAAAAAAAATCGCTTACTGCATCCATATTCGCTTCCGTCTGATACATCTTCATATTGAGGTCGTTCTTGATGCCTTGCATTTTGACGAAATCCTTTTCCAGGATACCTTGCAGATCTGCGCAGTTAAAACAAAGATAACTACAGATGCATTGTCAACCATTGAACTAATATTTACTACGTACTAGAACCCACACCGCGAACAAAATCTGAGCGGCAGTTATGGACGCGTGGAAGTAGGCACAGAATTCCATTTTATGAAACAAACTAAATAAGTATGAGCCCATGGGCTCTAATATGTTTTGCAAGCCACCAAGTCTCGACATTTCTTCTAGGACATAGTACATCGTTATTTCAATGTTGTCACCCCAGTGCAGCGATTGAAAACCTATTCCGAATTTCGGTACGGTTTCGCTTATGTTGGTTGGTATATATGTTGTTTTAATGATACCGGTTCCATATTTGTAAAGATTTGGCTGTAGAGAACACTCTTTTAAACATTTTAGAATAATTTTTGACATATTCTCTAATAGTATCGGAAAGATTATATGATCTTTTATGGTAAAGTTGATATAATCTTTTTTTTTAATAAAACTAATTTTACGGATTTTATCGCGTATATTAACTTATTTTTATATTCCCGACACCATTACATTAGATTTGATAGACCACAAATCCTCGCAAAAGAACACCGATTCCTCCCAAGGATGATTCGCGAGGCTATTGAAATTAAAAAACATCCTAATTTCAATAGAGAAGATGGATGGGTGCTGCCATCTGCTTGGGATCCCATAATTAATAAAATCAAATCCAAACCCAAGTATACCACTGCTAGACTTCAAGATACTATAAGCTCATTCTGCGTAAATCGAACCAAAAAAAAATTAATATAAAAAAAAACTGAAGGTAGCCGGGCTAACTATGACAGCAGGACGTCAAACACCTCAGTCCCCCGTGACCACGGGTGCTGGAAATCACCCGAAACGTCGGAAATATAAAAAAAAATAAGTTAATATACGCGATAAAATCCGTAAAATTAGTTTTATTTAAAAATGTGTGGTGTTCGCGTAAATATAAGAAATCATTATAATCTTCGTCTGCTCTTATGAATTCTTACTGTCTGATAAATAATACTCCATATGAGTAATCTGAAATGTTCTTGTAAGAAAGTGATGGAAGTTTTTTACCATATTACGTCTAAATCTCTCCAGGCATTTTGCATTAATCGGGACAAACACAATTTTCTCAATTTCCTGTTTTTTGTGCATATATGGCAATGAAACCAGTTGTCCACAGTGATCTGAACTTAGTTATTGAATTATTAATTTCTTGATTGGTACAACATCTACAAAAATATAATCATTACAAGTTGCACTACACGCTGCAATACGTGTAGCTTTAAAATAATAAATAATCAAGATTGTATCATTTGAACAATGAGCAACATTTAATACTGATGGAAAAAAGTTTCCAGGATATTGATATTAAAGTCTCCGCATAATACAAGACATTTTTTCTGCTTAACTAACAACGGTATCATACCTTGGACATGGGTATCCACTTCAAATCATTATTTAAATAGTGGTTTGTAGTGGATTTTGATACGTAAAAGTGTGCGGTTTAGTGTTTTAAATGTGTGCGCATGTGAACTATTAGTGGGAACGATGAAACAAGTGCTCCGATGGTATTGTGAACCTCACGTTATTGAGCTCGCTAAGGCTCCTTGAGATACTGTCGTCATCGACTGCCTGCTAGCTCAATTTTTCTGTAATAATCTTTCGAAAACTTCGAAATAGAACGCATTAACATATTGGGAAGAAATTTTCAAACAAATTATTATGTATGATAATTTCATATTAATTGATACTGGCACAAAACAAAAAAAATAGTCACTCACCATGACGCGCGAGTGCATCCGGTTCGCTCGGCAATTCAAGCGGCTGCTGTTGCTCTCTGCTGCGAGCTATAACAGAATATGGGCTTTAATTCAATGTCATAAATTTGTCAATTCATAATATATATAATAATATAATTTGTCATTTGATCGAAGATACCGATAGCGTTATTTAGACTTTTGTTGTTGACCGATTTTATGCATTAATTTAGCGCAACAAAATTCCTCGCATCTGTTTTTTTTAAATCTGCACACCATGTACAAAAGATGGCTTTAATGCCACATGGAATTCTTCTCCAGATTAAGCAGAGAACAGAAACAGAAACTTTTTTTATAAATGATACTTATTGAAAGTTACTCTTTTGTTTTTAATTACTACTGGTTCGAAAATAAATTTTTGTCTTGGGAAGAACTAGCAAGAAACCCAGCGGGACCTTTTTTTTAAGACAGCTTACAATCATGTATGTTACACAAGTTAACAACGCAACAAATTAGAAATAGCTTGTTAGCGATCACCTCATTCCCAGGGGTTTTTTTTTATAGGTTAAGGGTGACAAACGAGTACACAGTCCACCTGATGGTAACTGGTTGCTGTGGCCCATAGACATCTACATCTATCCTCTATTACAAATCAAAATGTAGATGCGTTGTCACCCGTGAGGACTAAGATGGGATGCCTCATTTCCAGTAAAAAGGGCCTCCGGCCACCTGCGTTTCGCTTGGTGGGTACCAAGCGAAACGCAGACGTAAACCACTACTCCACGCTGGTTTTCTGTGAGGTCGTGGTACCACCCCGGTTCGAGCCGGCCCATCCGTGCGACAGCAAAAGCTGCCGCGTGGCTCTACCACTGTTATTTTATTATTCATAAATTCTTTAATATTATAATAACCTTTTTTATACCTACTTAGTTTAATAAAGTTTTCGAACTTTGAGCAGCTCAAATTTTCAATATTATCTAGGATTTTGTTGTAAAAGCATATACATCACTCCAAGAATGAATTACTGACTCGGTGGAGTCGCAAGTCGCAAGTGGACAAGCTAGTAGTACCAACTGGTACTACTAGCTACCAATTGTTCTAGATTTTTTTTAGAAACAGAAAAATAATAAACATAGATAGAATGACTATAAACAATGCCTAAGAGAATTTTAAAGGAAGAAAGAGTGACTTCAATGAAAAGATGTTCAGCTGCACTTTCAATAATTGATGGAATGCGTCAATCATATCCATTAAAAAGATTCTACGATTCTCTACACTGACCATACGAAACACAAAAGCATTGAGCTACTATTATAGTCTAATATTCTGTGAGGGCGTGGTTTTTCTCCGGTTGAGCTGACCAATTCGTGCTATAGCCGTAATACAGCTGCAGTATCCTTTTAGAAACAGTAAAATTGGATGAACTCCATGGCCCTCTAACATGGAGATATGTTTCAAATATCGTATGCATTACAAATGAGATGTAAATGAGTGGTTGAACACGTGCAGTGGGCTAGGCTGGTGCCGCTGGGTGCTGGCAGCTGCGGCGGCCAGGCGGCGGGGAGGCGCGCGCGCTGCGCGTCCCGCGGCGCGCCGCGCACGGCGCCGCGCAGCTCCTGCAGCGCCACGCGGCACACGTACTCGCAACACGTGATCACTACCTCTCCACACTTGAACCTAAAACACTCTCTGCATCAAACACCCCCTAGTTTTTAAACTAAAGGTAGCCTATAAGGAGTTTCCGTACAGACCGCGCGGCAGAGTTAGGTGTTTGGGAGTATTGTTGTCGTCTCTGTCCAGCCCTGCCTGCACTGGCAAGATAGCGCTCATTTAGCATCATATACGCGCGTATTTTTTATGTTTTGTAATTTAACAATTTTCAAATATCATGTTAGACATGTAGATAAATTTTTCATACAGAATATACAATATCTTTTCCATATCTGTGTTTTCTTCAAATTATTCTAAATTGCTTTATTATCTTGAAATATTAGGATGTAGCGGAGCCTGTTTTAATGGAATATCCCACGAAATTAAAAAAAAACGAAATCTGACAAACCACAATCATAGATATTAGTATATAGAGACGATTTTTACATTATTTTATTAACATTAATTAGTTTTTTTACTAACAGTGGTAGAGCCACGCGACAGCTTTTACTGTCGCACAGATGGGCCGGCTCGAACCGGGGTGGTACTACGACCTCACAGAATACCAGCGTGAAGTAGAGGTTTGGTGAGTGCAGGTGGCCGGAGGCCCTTTTTACTGGAAATGAGGCATTCCATCTTAGTCCTCACGGGTGACAACGCATCTGCATTTTGATTTGTAATAGAGGATAGATGTAGATGTCTATGGGCCGCAGCAACCACTTACCATCAGATGGACTGTGTGCTCGTTTGTCACCCTTATCCTATATAAAAAAAGTTTATATTTAATCTAGGATCAATATTCGTTTCTATCTTTATTATCGTTGAAGCTCGCTAGGGACTAGATAACTTCCCTTAACTATGATATTGGGACGTCGAATACCAAGGAATATGCAAGACTGGTACAAAATTAATTTTATTTAAATGTGTAATGTTCGCGTGAACATAAGAAATCATCAAATCGTAAAGATAGATCGTAGCTGTAAAAGCTAGGCACATGCCTTCTCTCATTTCCGTTATGGAACGATATTTCGGCCACGTTGATTCAGTGCGTGTTGACGGCCTTCACGTAATATTAACGCACCTGCAATCCCCCTGGTGTTACAGTTGTTCATGGCTCACAAGCCACAACACAATTTCATACCTGTATAAATTCACACCTACCGAACGCTCTAAACCCTTAAGTCCAAATGTAGGTTAATTTTGACCGGAAGAAAAAAAATCATAAAATCTTTTTTATGGAAAATTTTAAACTCTACACATTACGCGTATTAGAACATTTTGTCTAATTTTTACCGTTTTGAGTATTTGCGAAAAAAAACAGTTTTGAAAATTTTTTTCAACCTTTGCCGAGGGTTCCAGACACGAAAACCTTTACACATTGTTTGTGTATCATTAAAAGTACATTATATCAGAAATGCAAAGTTGAGTCCCAAAATTTTGATTTCAGACCTTATTTCACTGGACTAATTTATTGATTTTTTTATAGAATAAGGGTGACAAACGAGTACACCTGATGGTAAGTGGTTGCTGTGAGCTATTGACATCTACATCTATAATTAATAGAATCAGGCGTTACTTTGCGGAAATCCATTATATAAAAGCTTTTAAAAAAAGTTACTTTGCAAACATCCGTTAAGACGATAACGGTCAGCCACCGTAGAGTCTACATCACCTAAGGATGCCTCGTGTAGAGGCGAAACACGTGTCGTATTGTCGTCATTGGCGTGTCTTTCCTAGTTTAGTGGTGTTATTAGTAGTGGTGCTGGGATTAGTGGTGACGGGGATAGTGCACGCAATTGAGGGAGGACGGGAGGTGCTCTTCATACTAGGTAAGACACATTATTTTATTTTATACAGCTGATGTTTGCAAAGTAACTTTTTTTTAAAAGCTATTATCTACATCTATCTTCGATTACGAATCAAAATGCAGATGCGTTGTCGACCGTGAGGACTAAGGTGGAATGCCTCGTTTCCAACAAAAAAGCATCTCCGGTTTTTCACACTCACCATGCGAATCACAGCAACGTTATGCTGCTATTTTACGCTGGTATTCTGTGTAGCACGAATAGGTCGGCTCGATCGGGGAACAACCACTTCCCCGGTCGAGCCGACCTATTCGTGCTACAACTATACTATTAATATAGCTGCAGCATGGCTCTACCACGTACAAAGATGATGAATATTATACAAAGTTTTCTGTTCCTCTATTATACTTACGGATTATTCTCTGACTGGGTTCTGTCATCCTCACCAGGTAGTGGGGAGCTCGGTCTTGAGGACGAAGCTGTTTCTTCTTGCAACTCTTCTGTTGTTTCATTCTTGCGTGGTGGCCCTGTTTATTCAAGTTTAAGATGACAAGTTAGCACACAGTCAGATACTCAGTATTAGATGCTGTGTAGTCGCGGTTAAGAATATCCACTACCCCATATCTTCCCCTGGGTGTCAGTAAAAGGCGACAAAGGGAAAAAGGCAGTACAATAAAAAAAGTGCGGTTGCCAAAACCCTCGTCAAGCGTGGCAACTATAGCAAATATCCCCCAATGATGAGAGCAACAAAGAGACGGTCCTCAGTCCCCACGGCCCCGCTATTCCTGGCAACGGTGGCGACCATGGTAACGGCGGGGCAGGGGGTGCTAAAAATCTCCGGTGGAGGTTCGGTTGCCACCTAAAACGACTCGATCTGGCAACATACAACGCACGCACCTTGAGGACTGACGAGAAGATCGTGGAGCTGGAAGAAGAGATAGACAAGTTACGCTGGCATATTATAGGATTATCCAAAGTCCGAAGAGAGAGGGAGGACACGGTAATCCTCGAATCCGGCACCTTGTTCTATCACCGGAAGGGCGACCATCTGTCCCAAGGAATCACCAAACGGTATTCGCTGAGGGTCTTACAGGTTTACGCACCAACTTCGGCACACCCCGATCAGGAGGTGGAGGAAATGTATAAGGATATCTCTAGAGCCATGCATTCCTCCAAAACTCACTATACGGTGTTAATGGGAGACTTCAAGGCAAAACTAGGCACAAGAGAGAACGGTGAGCGAAAAGTAGGGAAATTTGGAATAGGGCAAAGAAACCCAAGGGCCAACAGCTGGCCGAATTCATGGAGAAAAAGGGACTCTATATGATGAACTCTTTCTTCCAGAAGCGGCCTCACAGGAAGTGGACCTGGTCGAGCCCCGAAGGTTCGACAAAAAATGAGATTGACTTCATTATGTCGACCAGACGACAACTGTTCTGTGATGTCTCCGTGATCGCGAGGGTGAAAACTGGTAGCGATCACCGAATGGTTAGATGCACACTGAACCTAAACGTTAAGTTGGAGAGGTCTCGTCTAATGAAGTCAACACTCCGTCCCCCTCGTGCTCTATTCCAAAATCCCGAAACCTTTCAGCTCGAGTTGCAAAACCGTTTTCAGTGCCTGGAAACTGTCCATGCGGTCGAAGCTAAGCTAAGCAGAAGAACACAAAAACTCTGCGATCACACTCTTAATCTCATGGCTGTTAGACGGGAGATGAAGCTACATTCTTCAACAGACTTGACAGCATACAGGCATCTGAACAGACAGATCTCCAAATGCATGCGGCGGGACTTACGCAATTTCAATACAGCTCGTATTGAAGAAGCGATCGAGCGGAACCAAGGCTCCAAAGTCTTTGCCAGAGATCTGTCTGCCAGAAAGAGCCAACTGTCAAAGCTGAAGACAGAATGTGGCAGCATCGTTTCCGGGACACCTGAGATTTTGAGTGAGATTGAGAGGTTTTATGGGCAGTTGTACACGTCATCGTTGGAGCCACACGCAAGTGTGAGTAACGATCCAAGAGCGAGTCTCATCCGACACTATTCCGAAGATATCCCGGACGTCAGTCTGAGCGAGATTAGAATGGCTCTCCAGCACCTTAAAAACGGTAAGGCCCCAGGCGAGGATGGAATTACAGCGGAGCTTCTGAAAGCGGGTGGAAAACCGGTACTTGAAGTCCTTCAGAAGCTCTTTAATTCCGTCCTCCATGGTGGCATTACACCGGAGGCGTGGAGCAGAAGTGCGGTGGTCTTGTTCTTCAAGAAAGGTGACAACGCTCTCTTGAAGAACTACAGACCGATTTCCCTTCTGAGCCGCGTCTACGTGCTGTTTTCGAGAGTCATTACGAATCGTCTCGCGCGCAGACATGACGACTTCCAGCCTCCCGAACAAGCCGGTTTCCGAAAGGGCTTTAGCACCATAGACCACATACATACCCTTCCGCAATTTGTACAGAAGTCCAAAGAGTACAATTTGCCTCTATGTCTGGCGTATGTGGACTATGAGAAAGTTTTAGATACCGTCGAAATTTGGGCGGTGCTGCAGTCCCTTTAGCGGTGCCAAGTTGACTGTCGGTATATCGAAGTGTTGAAGTGCTTGTACAGTAGGGCTACGATGGCTATCCGAGTACAGAATCAGAGTACGAAACTTATCCAACTGCAGAGCGGTGTAAGACAGGGTGACGTCATATCCCCGAAACTCTTCACCGCTGCATTGGAAGACGTTTTCAAGCTTCTGGACTGGAAAGGATACGGTATCAACATCAATGGCGAGTACATCACTCACCTTCGATTTGCCGACGATATAGTCCTTATGGCAGAATCGCTGGAGGACCTAAGCACTATGCTCAATGACCTCAATAGTGTTTCCCAACGGATAGGTCTTAAGATGAACATGGACAAAACTGAGATCATGTTTAATGTCCATGTCACCCTTATGCCGGTAGTTGTTGGGAGCACTAAGCTTGAAGTTGTTGACGAGTATGTTTACCTGGGACAAATAGTCCAACTAGGTAAATCCAACTTCGACCGAGAGGTCAATCGGCAGATTCAACTCGGCTGGGCAGCGTTCGGAAAATACGACACATCTTCATTTTAGACATACCTCAAAACCTTAAAACGAAATTTTTCAACCAGTGCATGTTGCCAGTGATGACTTACGGATCTGAGACGTGGTCCTTCACTGCTGGCCGTATGAGGAATCTCAAGGTCGCTCAGCGAGCTATGGAGAGGGCTATGCTCAGGGTGTCTCTGCATGATAAACTTAAAAATGAGGATATCCGCAGTAGAACCAGAGAAACCGACATAGCCCAACGGATTAGTAAGCTAAAATGGCAGTGGGCCGGCCATATAGCTCGAAGAACCGACAACCGATGAGGAAGAAAGGTTCTCGAGTGGCAGCCTCGTACCGGTAGACAAAGTGTAGGGCGACCCTCCACTGGATGGAGTGACGACCTGGTGAAACATGCAGGAAGTCGATGGATGCAGGTGGCTCAGGATCGTGTTTTGTGGCATTCCTTGGGGGAGGCCTATGTTCAGCAGTGGACTTGTGAAGGGCTGTAATGATGATGATGATGAGGTATTAGATACATAATATAACGCTATTACATAATATACACTAACATTAACATCCACAGAGAACGATACGTGTCGTTTCTCTACACATTTCTTTATCAGTTACGATCACGGAGCAAATACAAAGAGGAGGTGTTGAATAATGATTTCTTATATTTACGCGATCACTACACATTGAATACAACTACTTTTACGGATTTTATCGCGTTTAATTAAGTTATTTTATGTTCCCGACGTTTCGGTTGCTTTTGTTTACCCTATATATGAGAGACCACACTCACAATCAAGCTTGTACACTTCTGCATCTTGTAGAGGAATATTGCACTTGACGGATGGTAAGAACTGACTAATCTTCTTCGGCGGCTTGAAGAATGTTCTAATAGAAGCTCGCTTCAAGACACTATTAGCCAATCTTGTCTGTGACACCTCTGACATATGGTAGTACAGCAGGCACACGCTCGACTGTGGCCGGCTTCACTCGGTCACTGTGACGTAGGCGCGGAACCCGAAGCTTGTTGTCGTGCAGAACCGACTTGACGTGCTGAAGCTCGGCGGTCAGGTGTTAGCTGTCACAGATCCCTCGTGCTCTCTGCAACAAAGGTTTGCCCACGGTAGCTAACTGTGAAGGGTGATTCACCGTTCAAATATCGGGTTGTATGGGTCTTTTTTCTATACACAGTGTGACCTACGGTGTTATATTATTGTTAAGTGAAATTATGTTTTAAAAAGAACGTCCCGCTGGGTTTCTTGCTGGTTCTTCCCAGGACAGAGGTATTTTCCGAACCAGTGGTAAATAAAATAATGACTTTCAATAAGTATTATGTAATAATCCATATTGAATAAAAATCATTCTATTCTATTCTATTAGGATTTTGAATGACTAACACATCTAGGAAAGCTAAAGAATTATTTGCTTCTAACTCCATAGTAAATTGAATTTTAGAGTTTATGGAATTAAGATGTTCTAAAAATGCAGTTACTTTGTCTGATGGTAAAATTGTGAAAGTATCATCTACGTACCGCTTGTAGAAACTTGGAGTTACTGGTGCAGTAAGCAGGGCTTTCTCCTCAAAGTCCTCCATGAAAATATCGGCGACAATGGGAGATACCGGTGAGCCCATCGCAACACCATCTACTTGCTTTTAAAACTGTTCCTTCCACAATAGATGGCCAGATGTAAGGCAATGTCTGAGTAATACTGCATATTCTTTTACATATACTTGCAATTAAAAAGCTGAAGGTACTCCGGGTTAACTTTAACATCGGACCGTCAATCACCTCAGTCCCCCGTGACCACGGTTGCTGGAAAGCAACCGAAATGTCGGGAATATAAAATAACTTAATAGAACGCGATAAAATCCGTAAAAGTAGTTTTATTCAAGGTGTTGAAATTAGATTTAACTATGTAACAACGCGTGAAAATTTGCCGAGTGAGGGGATGTTCACTTTACTATTTTCCATCTACCGATAAATAGTAAAACTACTTGCATCGTTCCGTAACGATGTTGCAATGTAGTTTAGCTACCTTGACGATAGATATTTTGGCAGTATACTAAGTACAGCCACGCCCACTGTGATGACGTCAGGACCTAGTTAGAATCACAGTGCACAATTACTTATGCCATCTCCTCTTTGTATTTGCTCCGTGGTTACGATTCGCCGACTTCAAAAAAGGAGGAGGTTCGGAATGCGAATGTATTTTGTATGTGTGTTACTTCAGAAATTTTTTCTAGGTGAATCGATTGCGATGATTTTTTTTATTTGAAATGTGGTGCTTCTTATGTAGTGCCATATAAATTTGATCAAGATCTGACCAGTAGTTTTTGAGTTATTCTTAATAATGCGTATTTAATTTACTTCGACTACATTCATGATGTTCTCATTTTATTTATATTGAAGTCGGTTGTACAAAATTTTATTTTACCACTTGTTTATTAAGTAATTTGCTGTTACAAAAAATAGCATTAACATCTTAAGCAAACATTATCTCTCACCTGGGTGTATGCAGTATGCCCCAAACTCCACCTTCTTCCCCAACACCCCGAGGAAAGGGAACTTGATCTTAGTGGAGTGAAGCAAACATTCCTCTTGTAAGTCCCAGATATTCACGGTCTAAACAGAAAACAGCAGACAATTTGTTTTACATAGGTCATATAAAATACCCTAGAAATTCTTAGTAGCAGACCGGAGTCAGGAAGATGGCGATATTACACCTATGTGCTTCGGAAAGCACGTAAAGCCCTTGGTGCTGCACCTGATCTCTCTTCAGTCGTGTCGGATTACCGTCCCATCGGACTTTGAGAGTGAAGGAATAGAAAGTAGATACACCAATGCTTACGCACACACTCGGGTACTATAATCCTGTCCTGCGCACATAGCTAAGTTGAAACCGTTGAAACTGGCTGCCGTGGCCGAAATTCGGTCTGGACTAAATTATAACCTACATTGCATTTTTATTTAGAGTTTTAATACCCCTATTAGATTTCATATAGCCCTGTAGTGGCAGAGTATCATGTGTAGTATGAATATCTACTACCACAAATCTTCCCGTGGGTGCCGTAAGAGGCGACAGAGGGAAAATAAACAGGACGGGCATCATCTACCTAATAACAAATCAATGAATTAATCTTTGGGAGAGGCTTATGTTCAGCCGTGGGCACTAGATAGACTGTAATGATGATTACATATAAAATGACGTCCCCACGAAAACTATTGACTTACAAGTAATGAATTTCTTTAAGAGCGTATATTCAAATATGCGCAATTCAAAAGCGCGCGGTTTACAAAACAAAGACCTATAGTCTTCACGGCCGCTCGGAGTCGACTAAAAGAATTACAGAGAATTGGGCGTAGCTTATTGCGCAATATATTAATTCCACAGAGCCCGTCTAGTAGAATGCATAGAAGTCTTTGTACTTACGCAATTATTGTGATATGCGACTACGATGTGCAAGTGTGGCACGACTGCCACGTCGAGGACGGGCATCGCTGCAGGTGCACTGAGGCGGGCATAAGGCGTAGGCTGCGCCACGTCCCATAGTCGCACGGCACCGTCGCAGCTGCCAGTTACCACCAGCTTCAGCTCCGCCACCCAGTGGAAACAAGTCACGCCCTGCCACCAAGTTTTTGGTGTTTACTCCTTGAGAATCTGTTTTGAGATATATCATGGATAGGATATATCTCAAAACGCCACGTATATCTTTGGCATACTCAGTGTGCTTTACTTGCAATATACGCAGAGCGTAGTCCCTCTTTTTTTCTAGTCCGTGCCCGCGGTACACAAATTACATGGGGAGCGGAATCGAGTGTTACCAAAAAGTGAAATCGTTATGTCTTCCCCCCCGCACACATTAGCGTATTTTACACTGAAAGCGTGTAAAGTAATAGCTCCATTAACTGCATTAAAGAAGTCATTGGCAATACAACCTACCAAAAGTCCACTGCTGAACCTAGGCCTCCCCATAGATTGTCCCATAGAAAGAATATTTACCATAGTTGCTACGCTTGGCAGGTGGGTTGGCAACCGCAACTATTTTTTTACAAAAACTCTCCGATCACACTCTTAATCTCATGGCTGCTAGACGGGAGATGAAGCTACACTCTTCAACAGATTTGACAGCATACAGGCAACTGAACAGACAGATCTCCAAATGCATGCGGCGGGAATTACGCAACTTCAATACAGCTTGTATTGAAGAAGCGATCGAGCGGAACCAAGGCTCCAAAGTCTTTGCCAGAGATCTGTCTGCCAGAAAGAACCAACTTTCAAAGCTGAAGACAGCATGTGTGGCAGCATCGTTTCCGGGACACCTGAAATTTTGAGTGAGATTGAGAGGTTCTATGGGCAGCTGTATACGTCATCGTTGGAGCCACACGCAAGTGTGAGTAACGATCCAAGAGCGAGTTTTATCCGACACTATTCCGAAGATATCCCGGTCGTCAGTCTGAACGAGATTAAAATGGCTCTCCAGCACCTTAAAAACGGCAGGGCCCCAGGTGAGGATGGAATTACAGCGGAGCTTTTGAAAGTGGATGGAAAACTACGTGGTAGAGCCATGCTGCAGCTATATTATGGTTGTAGCACGAATGGGTCGGCTCGAACGGGGAAGGACGCTCTCACAGAAAACCAGCGTAAAATAGCAGCTTAACGCTGATGTGTTTCGTATGGTGAGTGTAGAGAACCGTAGACCCTTTTTACTGGCAAAGAGGCATTCCATCTTAGTCCTCACGGGTGACAACGCATCTGCATCTTGAGTCTTTATTGAGGATAGATGTAGATGTTTATGGGTCACAGTAACCACTTACCATCAGGTGGACTGTGTGCTCGTTTGTCACCTGATCCTATAAAAAAAACCGGTACCTGCAGTCCTTCAGAAGCTCTTTAATTCCGTCCTCCATGGTGGCACTACTCCGGAGGCGTGGAGCAGAAGTGCGGTGGTCTTGTTCTTCAAGAAAGGCGACAACGCTCTCTTGGAGACTACAAACCGATTTCCCTTCTGAGCCGCGTCGACGTGCTGTTTTCGAGAGTCATTACGAATCGTCTCGCGCGCAGACTTGACGACTTCCAGCCTCCCAAACAAGCGGTTTCCGAAAGGGCTTTAATAGCATAGATCACATACACACCCTTCGGCAATTTGTACAGAAGTCTGAGGAGTACATATTTGCCACTATGTCTGGCGTATATGAACTATGAAAAAGCCTTTGATTCCGTCGAAATTAGGGTGGTGCTGCAGTCTCTTCAGCGGTGCCAAGTTGACTGTCGGTATATCAAGGTGAGTAAACTTAGAAATGAGGATATCCGCAGTAGAACTAGAGTAACCAACATAGCCCAATGGATTAGTAAGCTGAAGTGGCAGTGGGCCGGCCATATGGCTCGAAGAACCGACAACCGATGGGGAATAAAGGTTCTCGAGTGGCAGCCTCGTACCGGTAGGCGAAGTGTAGGGCGATTCCCAACTAGATGGAGTGACGACTTGGTAAGACATGCAGGAAGTCGATGGATGCAGGTGGCTCAGGACCGTGCTTTGTGGCATTCCTTGGGGGAGGCCTATGTTCAGCAGTGGACTTATGAAAGGCTGTAATGATGATGACGATGATGATGATGAATATAATGGATTTCCGCAAAGTAACGCCTAATTTTTACGCGTGCTTGACTATGGAGGTAGTGTGTTATATGAAATAAATCTTACTCTCTGCACGCTAGCCACTACGTCGTTCATGTGCGGGGAGCTGTGCCGCACGCACAGGCTGCGCTGCGGGTCGTGCGAGCAGGACAGTATGCGACGGGCGTCCCGCTCACACGCGATGCGGCGTACAGCGCGAGAGTGCAATACGCCTCGAGAGCGCGCACTGCACCACGTATGCGCACCCGTGCACAGCTCCTGCATACGCACAGTCTGAGCGGAATGACATGAGGCGCGTGTCTCTCTCACATCTCTCACACTAACAACTACACACGCGGACCGTTTATTTGTTGTTTTGTTTTATGGTATAAATGTTGGTTTAAAGCGAATTCTGATAATGGTTTTGTGTATCAAATGTCTGCGCATGTGAACTATTAGTGGAAATGAAGAAACAAATGCTACGAGTGTGATGTGGACCTCAAGATAGTGTGTCTGCTTAGGCGCCTTGAGATACTGTCGTCATCGACTGTCTGTTGGCTCAAGCTGCCGTCAAATTCTCCCAAAAACTTCGCAATGTGACGCGTCAACATATCGTGAAGAAGTTTTTCAACAAATTATTATAAAGGATTATTTGTTATTTGATACAGACAAAACTATACGAATCCATTAAAAAGAAACAGAAAACTGCATACGCGCTCGCACATATTTCTAAGACTCATATGCAAGATAGTACACAATAGTCTTGTCTAGTGGATTTTATTGCTTACGAGCTAATTTTTTTATTACAATATAATGAAAGGTTGTCACAGCTCCTGCATACGTACCATGTGAGTAGGCCTTCATGAGGCGCGTGTGTCTCTTAAGCTGAACGCACATTTATCCGCGCCGTACGTGCCGCAGGCGCCGCACGCGCCGAGTTTTACTGATGGCCTCGCACATTTGCCCGTACGCATCGTCCGCACCGTACGCAAATCTTTTGTATTACCAACAACTTTTGTAGTTTTTTCCAACCACTGGTGTGAAACGGTACATTGAAATTGATCGCTTGAAATCACTATGGAAAGAAATGACGGCTCCGTGGCGCAGTGGCTTAGCAATGAGTTGCTGCGCTGGGGCCCGCGGGTTCGAATCCTGCACGGAACAAGTATTTGTATGGCCTACAAATAATTGTTCCGGGTCTGGATGTTCGTTCTTGTGCAATTTGTGTTTGTAAACTGCCTCCACGATACAGGAGAAAATCCTAGTGTGGAGGTAACGTTTTTTCTAAAAAAAATATATAGTAATAGCCTGCTTATTGGCAGAGGAAGGAGAAAAAAAATTCGAAGAAAAAGAAGATTCTGGATTCATAATATTAATTTAAAAAGGCAATTGTATGGAGGATATGAAGGGGATATACTTTATTTAAAGACTTATTAGATGATTAATCATTTTTTTTAGTTCAGTATTTAAATACTTTATCACTAAGTATTCATATTGATCATCGATGTAAAAAAATTCAAATTATGTATAATTAATTACGAATTAATTAAAAGTTATAAAAATACAAAAATTATCACGTAAGTCGAAACCACCAGTTATAGTGGAAAATCCACTAAGTTATCCATTAGACAACACTAAGTATCAGCACGCGCCGCGCTATATGACGTCATCAGCATGCATCCTTCGATATCGTATATCTACCGTATTTTATAAAATTCGGCGCGTACGGTGCAGGTGTAATATGCGAGGTTTCATATGATTTCATACAATGAATTCTAAAATTCGGCGTGTACGGCGCGTGCGGTGCGTACGGCGCGGGTAAATGTGCGTTCAGCTTTACATGAGCACCACGCGCACGCATCCGTACCTTATCAGCTGCACACGCGCTCACACAGGCACATCTTTCAAACACTCATACACGAGATAGTGCACGATAAAGTCATATCCAGTGGATTTGAATTGTTGTTTACCGGCTTAATAGAATAGGGACCTATATATACATAGCATCTATAAAATGTGAACATCAATAAATTTTAAAATTAAGCGTATTGACTATACAAGTGCTAAATGTTAATGTTTAGTTTTTAAAAGTCATTGTATTGACTTTTTACCAAATGTCTCGCTGTTGGCAACCGTTGTCCTATAAAAACGGTAACCATCCTGGGGCCTGAGTCTAAAATGAGCAAGGAAGAAACGGAAACGGAAATATTTTTATTCAATATAGATTATAAATAATACTTATTGAAAGTCACTCTTATTTGTTTAATTACCACTGGTTCGAGAAAAAACCTCTGGCCTGGGAAGAACCAGCAAGAAACCCAGCGGGACTTTTTTTTAAATAACAGCTTACAATCATGTATGTTACATAATTAACCACACAAAACAAATTAGAAATAGCTTGGTAGCGATCACCTCATTTCCAGGGGTTATTATCATCCATAAATTCCTTAATATTATAATAGCCCTAATGTGTTTATATTATATATATATATATATATATATATGTGTGTGTGTATATATATATATATATATAATTTCGGGTGTACAGTATACAGTATTGAGTTATGATGTATGACGTAGGGTGTAAAGTGTAATGTAGTTAGGGTGTAGGTAGTACACTACTACTACTACATACATTTAGTATGTATGGGGTAGGGTGTTGTGCATAGTGTAGTATAGTGTTAAGAGTGTAAATGTAGTATAGCTTTAGCGTACGTTTTGTAGGGTATAGAGTGTAATTTAGAGTTAGTGTGTATGATGTAGGATGTAAAGTGTATAGTGTAGGTAATGCAGAGAGCAGACTTACGTGCCAAGTGCAGTAAGGCGGCGAGTCTGTGGGCAGCGATTCGCGCAAGTGCAGCTCGTACAGCGCGCCGCGCGCCGTGCCCACTGCCAGGCGCCCGCCCACAGCTGGCTCGCTGTACGCCAGGCACTGGCGGGAAGCACCGACGTTTTTTTATTTATTTCATTTTGGTTTTAATATGGGAACATGTAGCTATCTATATATCTCTATGTATAAAAATCAATGTAAAGTAGGCGATAAAGGTGTGTCAGGATCGTAAACATCCCCCCATGAGGCAATCTATGGGGGAGGCCTACAGCTGTGGACTTTAATAACCTGTAACGATTACGGTAACGGTCGAACTTTGACCACTGGATGACGCAGTATACGTAAATAAGCGGATTGTAGCTCTGGTCTTTATCACTTATCATAAGTACATAGTTAAAAATTATCGGCAACGCATCTGCAATTCCCCTGGTGTTGCGGTTGTTCATGGGCGGCGGTAGTCACTTACCATCAGGTAAGCCGCATGCTCGTTTGCCCCCTCTCCTATAAAAAAAAATATTTGTACGAGCACAGGGTACCAATATTCACAACATTAAATGTGTTACAATTATTTAGGTAAGATCTACAAAAAAATGACGTGTCTTATCTAGTTTTTTTTAGATCACCCCCACGCTAGGATATTCTTCTAAATCGTGGAGGCAATTTACAGACATAAATTACACAAGGATAAATATCTAAACCCGAAACAATTATTTGTATACCATACAAATACTATTTCCGTGTGGGATTGCAATTCGATTCGGTCCTCAACCCTGCAATTCAATGCTAACCCCCTCAATTGCGTGCACCATCCCCGTCACTACAAACCCAGCACCACTTCTCCCAACACCACTACATTAGGAAAGACACCAGCGTCGATAGCGACTTTTACGTAGATCTTATCTAAATAATTTTAACTTCTTTAATATAATGGATTTCTGTAAAGTAACGCCTGATTCTATTAATATCCACTACCTCATATTGTCCCGTGCGTGTCTTAAGAGGTAACAGAAGGAAACCAGGAGATTCGCAGCAGCGTCTTCCTAATAACAAGTAAAACATGGCGTTTTACGTGGTAGAGATCGGGATAGAACCACATTCTCACATAATATTGTGGAGAACTAAAGACTCTTTTTACTGGAAATTAAATATTCCATCTTAGTGCTCAGGGGTGACAATGGATCTGCATTTTGATTCTTAGTCAAGGATAAATGTAGATGTCTATGGGCTACAGCCACGAAGCAAATACAAAAAGGAGATGGCATAAGCAACTGTGCACTGTGATTCTAACTAGGTCCTGATGTCATCACAGTGGGTGTGGCTTTACTTAGTATACTGTCAGCGTTCGTCCTGTGCGCTTATGTGTTGAAAATCGCAAATCGGTGTATTTTCGTAGTATTATGTTATTAGTATTTCGTAAAAAAGGATGAAGTGTTGTGTTTCATCGTATAAAAACTACTCACACGGTCTGATGCTATGGACGGCATCACATTTCATTTGTAAGTGATTTTATACCTAATTTATTTAAAAGGTTCTAGAAAAATCTAGGCGTCAGATTTCAAATATAACTAAATATATTCGACACTAAATGGCGACACTTTGTGTCATGCTAACTAAAAATATAAAGTCACGTAGAGCTCGGTATTGGTAAAATAATCATACGAAGGTGTTGAAATTTGTTTTGCATTCAGTGCTAAAGAATTTTTAATCGCCAAAATATTATTTTTATAGTTTTTATAATCATTTTGTGAATAGGCCGCCATCTATCGTCAAGGTAGCTAAACTACATTGCAACATCGATATGAAACGATTCGGGTAGTTTTACTATTTATCGGTAGATGGAAAATAGTAAAGTGGGCGGGGCTTAACATCCCCTCACCCCGCAAATTGTCACACGTTGTTACATAGTGAAATCTAATTACAACACCTCCTCTTTGTATTTGCTCTGTGGCTACAACACTCACTTACCATCAGATGGACTGCAGATGGACTGTATACTCGTTTGTCACCCATATCAGGCATACTATGGGGGAGGCCTATGTTCAGCAGTTTTAAGGCAGTTTTGATGAGCTTTAATAATGATGATGATTATTATGAACTGCGTGTATAAGTTGAATGGTGAATGTGTGTGTAGTCGTACGCGATAAATTGTACGTGGACATGAGTGCGCGCTTGTGTACGTGTGTGCAAGAGACGTGAGTAATGGCGTGCACTAACTGTGGGTATGTCGGGCAGCGCAATGACGCACAGCAGCGGCGCGTGCGACAGCGTGTGCGCGCTGAACACGCGCAGGCAGCGCTCTGACGTAGCGTACGTCACACACTGCGCCGCCTGCCGTACAACCAGATTATTACTTGTACTCAAGCATAGCTGTGGCTTGTTGGGAAATATCGCTAGTAGATTTGGATCTATTATATTATATTTTCCTTATTGATAATACTGTTAGAAAGTTGGCTTT